CCCGCTGTCTCTCTGTCAATGAATAAATAAAATCTTTAAAAAAATAAAAATAAAATAAAGCTATAGACTAACCTCACTTACAAATACAGAAGCAAAATTCTCAACGTGGTATTAAAAACGGAGTCCAGCAGTGCACCTAAATGCAGAAAACCAAGTCCCAGGATACAATGATGGTTCACTCTCAGGAAATCAGTCAATCTTGTCTTAACACAAACAAATGAAAACAGAAGAAAAAAAAAAAGTAATATTTTCAATAAATGCTGAAAAGGCATTTAATTAAATACAGCAGATATTCTTAATAAAAATACCTAAAAACATGCAGAGAAAGGAAATTTCTTAATGAATACTATTTCCCAAAAACCAAGAGCAATTTTGCCTCAAAGGCCAAACCCAAAAAGCATGTTGCTTACTATCAGGAATTAGACCATGATGTCTACCATCAAGTGCAAAGCCTAGGAACCTCGCTTTGACAAATGCACAGATTGAATAAGCCTGCCTCCTTCACTATGGGCTCGGGTTAAAGAAACCACGACTTGCAAACACTCCTGGAAATGTCACTAGCACAACCTGTGTGATACACAATCTAGAAATAACCGAAAGCCTCAGAGCAGTGCTTCTGTATCCAGCAACTTGACTTCTCAGAACCTACCCAAAGGCCGTGATCATGGAATGGACAAAAATTTAGCCACAACATTATGTGTTTCTGCATTGTTTACATGGGCAAAGCAAAAAATAATATCCTAGTGTTTCTCAATATCCAACACTGAAGAGCTGGCTAGACACAACTTTGCTGGGACGACTTGAAGGTGTTTCTAGAAACGAAGCCATTCCCTCTGCAGCCAGTTTTGGAAGCCAACGTCTTCTGGAGTCCCCCAGATCACTCCTTTGCCCGCCAGTCCCCAGCCCAACGAGGGCTCCCATCTCCACTGGTTCTATCTACCCGCTGAGGGAGATGCTCAGCCTTCAGGACCCCACACTGACGACCAAGTGACATTTCCTGGTATCTCGCCACCGATGTACGGCTCCTGAACCAAGCCCATAGAGCCAACAGAATTGAGGGGTTCAGCGATTCTCTTTTGGGCACGAACGTGCCCAGGCACACTGCAGGACGCAAGGCCAAGAAGGAACTCAAGACGCATCGGAGAAAGTGCGTTCTGATGAAGTCACCTCTGAATACAGGGTGTCAGCGTGCTGAGGCGTGAATGACACTGACCGCTGACAGCCTATAATCTTCCATCTCTATGAGAAGCTAAAATGACAGGCCTGGTATCAAGCGGTGATTGTATGACTTCTTGGAATTCTCCGGCACTTTCCCTTAGACACTCCCAAGATCCAGTTTCCTCAGGCTGCTATTTTCTTAATGCCCAGTTCTAAGAGTTTTTTTCCCCCATGCACTTGCCATGGAAGTGTCATTTGGCCATTTTAAAAACCCACAGAAAAATAAGCTAATGCCATGTTACAATTTTGGAGCTGCCCCAAGGCTACAAATAAAAATCACAAGCCTCATCCTTCCAATCCGGCATTCTGCCTACGTGGCCCTCCCAAGGGAACCATGATCCAGAAAAGCCTCAAACCTCAACCCTGCCCGAGGAGGCAGGCCAGGTGGTGTTCATTTTCCCATAAAAGAAAGAGCCAGAAGGCAGGCCTATTCTTCAAAGGTAAAAAGCATCCAGAACTCCAAGCCTTGTGAATCACAAAACCCCAAGAGACCCTGTCCTCAGCCTCAGGCCGCACAAGTCTGGACCCTTCTTTCTGTAGACACAGCCACAATATCCAGATCAGGAAAAGTGTCTCAGCTCTGTGTTCAGGCTTGAGCCCCTGCTCTCCTGCTCAGAGGATCTGGGCTTGACCTTGTGGACCTTCCTCCAAAATGGCCAAGCCCCTCATCTGGCTGCAGGTCGGCCACCCTTCAGGGTACTGGCCTAGACACTGGGGGCTGATGAGCTCGTTCAGAAGACAAGGGGACACAGGCTGGCTGGCACGATGTCTCTGGCCTGGCCATGCCCAAGTCTAGGGTAGCTGCTGGACGGAAGCTCAGCCTGACCGCAGGGGGCTTCCTGGCAGGACCTCTAAGCCACGCTCTCATCCCACCCAATCTCTGATAGCACTTGGCTCTCTTCTGCATCGCCGGCACCCACCAAGGATTTCCACACCGGACAACGGCTGCAGCTGCCTCCTGCCGACTCCACAGGAGCTTGGGTGTTACCTCCAGGGAAACAGAGGTAGCTATGCTCGGTCGCTCCCAGTGTGGACAAAACCCAGTGCCTGATTCTTGATTTCTCACAGCAAGGCCTTTCTGCAGCCAGACCCGATCCCCAGCATTCTAATTGCAAGCCATCTAAATGGCCTGAGCAGCATCTTGGAATGGCGTTTCTGCAGAATTCCTGCCTTCTCCAATAAATTATGGAGTCACAGTTCCCAGAGAACACCTCTGTGAGCAGTACAGGACAGAGATTCCCAACAAACGGGCCCAGGCACCTGGCATCAAAGGAAAACAGGGAACCAGTAAATCTTTCCAGCATTTAACATTTTTGTGATTTAAAAGCTCTCTCTTTTCCCAGGGTGACCTGGATGCTGAGATGGTGGGATTCTCTGTTGTGGGGGAGGTGGTCTCTGAGCAGAGTGACCGTTCTGTTCTGGGGACCTCTCTGGGATGCTGTGCCTTCAGAGGGCTGACAATGTCCCGTGGGTTAGGATCAGGCCTGCCTGAGCAGGAGGGCATGATTCGGGCATTCATATCTGTGCCACCACGTCCTCTCTCCAGGAGGACGAGTCCCTGCCTCTGACATTCCCAAGTAGCTCCCACTCTGCTCCTGCCCACCCCCCTCTCTGAAGCAGCCCGTCTGCTGAGGGTCCCTACCAGCACATGCAAAGTTTTCCAGGTTGCCCACCCCTACTGGAGTGGGCCCTCACCAGGACTCCTGCTCTGTGTTGTAGGTGATCACAGAAGCCAGCACTGGCCAGGGCCAGCACCTTATCCGCACGCCCTTTGCAGGAGTGGACGATTTCTTCATCCCCCCAACAAACCTCATCATCAACCATATCAGGTGAGACGGGCCCACAGTGCCCTTAAGTACCCCCATAATCCAGCTCAGCCATGCATTTGCCCACCGTGAGACCTGCTCCTTCTCTGTCTCTCCCACTCGTGCTGAGTGGCCTTGGGCTCCCTCACGAGGGGACAGAGAAATGCACCCATCCTGAGTCTTTAATGGTCATAGTTAAGGTGCCTTCCTGCCACCCTCAGACGCCCAATGAGGACAGGAAGTCTCATCCTCAAGGTGAGGACAATAGAGGAAAGGAATCAACAGTGGTTAATGGATCACACTCTACTTACTAGACACATACAAAAAAAACTAGTCAAAGTGGTCTTGACCCCTTCTTACAGACGAGGAAACAGAGGCTCGGAGAAGCTAAGACCCTGGCCAAGTTCACACAGCCAGGAGCCCCCCGAGCAGCCATGCAGACGCCCAGCCGGGAAATGAGCCCTCCCAGTTGTCTGGTTTGTCAGCATCCAGAACAGCCTAATAAAGGGAGCCATGGTCCCAACTGCAAACCTCATCCCAGCCTGGCCCCTCCCCCTGCCTATTCACGTCAGAGAACCCCCACCCCTGACTGGAAAGTCAGCACTGCCGAAGACTAAGCCTGCCCTCTTATCAAGGCACTCAGACCCAAAGGTCTTGGGGGCACTGTTTATGCCTACCTTTTTGTCTGACATCAAACACCTTTCTCCAAGAAGAAATGCCTCATTTTTGTACACTGAAACTGGACTTCTAAAACTAGGCCCAGCCATTTATCCAAGCCCAAGGAAGAAAACACCCCTTAATGAACCCCTCCCTGTAGACAGCACCTGGGGAGAGCTTCTAAGATGGTCCTAAAGGGTAAAACCCCCCAAAGAAGCTGAATTCAGCCAGGAGTCTAGCAAACTTACAGGCTCTGCACTGTCTGTGTGTGGCTTTAATATGTGTGGCTGTAAGAGTGGGCTTCTCTTTCCTGTTCTTTCGTGCTCTGGCTTGTTAAGAATGCTTTCAAGAAGCTTTAAACTGGGCATCTCAGGCTGACGTGCTCCATTAGTTACTCAGGAGAAAAGCGTGGGGGAGATTTTTCTCTTATTCCTATAGGTGTCCCCAGGCACCAAAAGGCCTCCCTGAGCCAGGGATTTAGACAGAGGCCCCCAAGTCAAAGCCAAGTCCTGCCTGGGGTCGGGTCTCCTTGCAGCTCCCAACTCGCCTCCAAAGCAGACTTGCGCCAAGTCCAGACGGGAGCAGCAACCACCTACCGAGCCCTTCCCCTCCAGCTCTCTCTTTGATCCAGTCCTCCCGACAACCCTCTGGGAAGGAACTGCCCTCTTTAGCGTCTCAGAGGCTCTGAAAGGCGAGCCACGTGCCCGGCTATGCAGGGGGCAGGCTATGCCGAGACGCCGTGGCCGTCAGACTGCAAAGGTAAACGCTGTCCCCAGCCCTCCTGCCCAAGCTTGCTCCCAGGGCCCCAGGAGAGACTGCCCCTCTACGGTCCTCTCGCAGGGAAGGAGCGCTGGGAGCAAGTGTGTCCTGTTCGCTCGCGCTGGCCGCTCAGATTCGGAGTCTCTGTTTAGCCCAGGGAACCGCAGCAGAAAGCTCGCCTCCACCGCCCTCCCCACAGGCAGTCAGAGCTCCTGGCCTTTCTCCGCAGACACGGGCGCCCACCTGCCAGCTGGCGCAAGGCCCCAGGGGAGCTGATCAGAAGGCATCCCACAGGGAGAAGCGGCCGAGGGCACCATGACGGCCCTTCTTCCCCATGGCTAGAAAGGAGTGTGCATGTTAGGAGAGCATAAATCCAGGAGCATTTGTAACTCGACTGCCTTTGGTTTGACATCATAGATGAATCACGGAAGAAGCCGTGCCCTGCATGATAGTACATCTAATTAAGAAGCTACTAGATACCTAAAGGATTCTGATAGAGGGAAGAGAAAAGATGCGATCCTTTAGACGAATGACAGCCCCCCTCCCGCCCCGACCTCTGACCTCGGTTCTTCCCTCCGCAGGTTTGGCTTCATCTTCAACAAGTCTGACCCTGCCGTTCACAAAATTGATCTGGAAACACTGGTGCTGCTCAAGACCATCAGCCTGCAGAGCCACGGCTGCGTGCCCCAGGCCATGGCCCACACGCACCTGGGCGGCTACTTCTTCATCCAGTGCCGAGAGGACAGCCCGGCGCCTGCCGCACCCCAGCTGCTGCTCGACAGCGTCACGGACTCCGTGGTCGGCCCCAACGGGGACGTGAGCGGCGCCCCACACCTGTCCCCCGACGGGCGCTTCGTCGTCAGCGCGGCCCCCAGCAGCCCCCAGCTGCACGTGCAGGAGATCACGCTGCAGGGGCGGATCCGGACCCTCTACAGCTTGACAGTCAGCGCGGGCGTCTCGGACGTGGCCTTCCAGCCCTCCTTCACCCAGGCCAACCAGTACCACGTGTTCGCGGCCGCGGAGACGGAGCCGGCCCTGCTCTTCCTGGAGCTGTCCACGGGCAAGACGGGCGTGCTGGAGGACCTAAAGGAGCCGCCCGCGGCGCCGGCCTGGCCTTGGGGAGGGCCCCGCAGGATCGTGAGGGACAGCGGGCTCTTCGGACGGTACCTGCTCACGCCAGCGCAGGAGTCGCTGTTTCTCGTCGACGGGAGGCAAAAGGCACTGCGCTGTGAGGTGGCGGGCGTCAAGCGGGGGACCACGGCCGTGTGGGTGGGCGAGGTATGAAGCCCCTCCCCGCGCAGAGCCCCGGGCCACCGAGCTCCGCCTGGTCCTCACTCCGCAGCCCCCAGCAGGCGCATGTACATTTTTACAGACAAAAGCCAAACCTGTCTTCGCTTTGTGGTTCGACCCTGGTCTCCTTGCAAGTTTCCTAGTCTAAGGTAGGCGCTGCTAACCAGATTGGGGTTTTTCGTTGGGAAGTATGATTTACGCCTTGAGCTACGGTGCGAACACATGCTGCTGTGTCAAGGAATCGTTTCTGTGCCCAGCTCCACGCCATGGTACCTGGGGACGCTGTGGAGCCAAGAGTTCCTGCTTTCCAGGCTGACCTTTCTGTCGGTTGCCTTCATGTACTCATTGTCCCTCACCGCCGGGTCCGGCCAGGCTTCACCCCGACGGAGTGGCCTGAAGCCCGGCCTGGAAACAGGCTCGTCGGGAGCAGGGCTTGCTCTCCAGGCCTGAGAGCCACGTCCGCCTGCCTCCTGGACCTTCTTTTCTCCTGTGCAGCTGCTTCGTGATTTTCTTTCCGTGTGACTTGGTGTAAGCCTGAGGGAGAGCCGACAGGACTTCTTGCATCTTGGGGGATGGGGAAATCACTTACTTTATTTTGGAAATTTTGATTAAAAGATAATTTTTTATAATCTCAAATGCTAGTAAGCAGAAAGATGCTCTCTGACGTCCAGCTCTGTTCCTCCCTGCCTCGGGCCAAGTCTCTGCGAGTCACCACCCCACGCCCCACAGACAGAAGGAACAATGGTCATCCAAGAATAACGGCCCTCCACACCACGGACGCCCCAAGTGCAGCTCTGGCCACCATCTTGGCCAAGACTCTGTTCTGGGTTGGGACGCAAAGAGACCAGGACAAAGCCTGCGTGCCTGCTTTTTACCACTGAAGGGGGAGGTTTTATTAGCCAGGCCCAGTACCCCAGATTCAGGGCAGACTGGGCTTGCCAGGCAAAGTGGGGGTGGCCTACAGAACAGTGACCTCCAGGTGCCACACAGGAACCCCAAAGACCCGTGCAGGGTCCAGGTGCGTTCTGTAGGCTATCCGTTTTAAAAATCCCTTTCTTTTCTGCCTGTGGCCCTCGAACTTCAGTCCCTCCTTCAACACAGCACACAAAGCACATTTCAGGCCTTTCTTACATACGGCCCCTTCTCGTCCCAGTAACACACACTGCAAAACCCATAATCCCAAGGATGTGGGGTTAGGGGGAGGATACAGGCGGGCAATGCTGCATGATCCCCAATGTCTCAGACTCTGCCGGGCTGGGTGGGGGAAGGGGGGCGCATCAAGGAAGACACCCTGTGTGGGAGAATGTCCGCAATGAAGAAGCTTCCCCGGGCCCCCAGAGCCCCCCTTTCTGTCTCCCTCACATCAGTAGTCACAACATACTCGTATGCTTTCTGGCTTGAATGACTGTTTTTCAAGCCACCTGAAGTTGGAAAAGGTGGTCCCCTCACATACACCTCAGCTAGCGTAGCCCCCTTCACCCGGCCACGTGGCCGTGCTTTTCCTGTGCTGCTGATCGCCAGCCCCGTTAGAAGGAAGACACACACCCTGCCTTGCTCTACTTACACACTGCTCCCCTTCACGCTCACCTGACTGCCCACCCCACCTGAACCACGGCCCCCCGCCCCAATTTCCTGAAATCAGCCAATCCCCTGGCATCTCCCATGTGTCTTGGTTCACCAAACACTCATCCCCTCCAACTCCCAAGAGTGTGGCCAGATGTGCCCATGCAGACTTGAGATTCTGTTCCAGGTAAAATACAGAGCTACAGGCAGAAGGAATGGACTTCAAAGGCGGCCTACTCACTTTCACCAGAGCTGGGACAGATGGGCAACACCTCCCACCCTTTCTTTTTTATTCCTGTCTCTGTCTCTTGACACCTTCACTTCCAAACTCCCACTTTTATCACTGAAATTCTCCAACATTCATGAACTTCTCCCTTTGGGAAAATCTTCTACACGGTGGCAGCCCCTGACAGAAAAAAAAAAAAAAAGTTGGGATGAGCACTGGGTGTTATATGCAACTAATGCATCGTTGAACACTACATCAAAAACTAATGATGTACTACGTGTCAGCTAACTGAACATAATAAAAAATAAATCAAGTCTCCGAGCCTACCTGAGGAAGAGCCTACCAGCAGCCAGGCCAGAGCGTCGGCCCCTTGGGTCATGGGGTTCCTAAGTCAAAGACCATCCGATCCCAACTGGCCCTTTTGCACTGTGAGTGACTCTGCAGCCCCAATCCTTCCGTTTCGAGGTGTATCTGCGAAGTGTCCCTGCCCGGCACTGACTCACTAAGAGTTTACCGGAGAGGCCGGCCCAGGCCTCACCAGCACTCCGCACACTACCGAGGTGGAGCGGGGAGCCGCCCGCCTAGAAACTGCGAGATCTGCACCATCACAAAGACAGCTTAGTAACTGCTTTCTCAGCAGAGCGACCAACAAAACTGCTGGGGGGCGGCTAGGCAGGGGAAAGGCGGGCCAGGTCATCCCCCACCCCTTCAAGCCCCAGAAGAGCCTCCCTGGGACGCAGTTTGAAAGTCAGAGCAGTTAAGCCTTGCAGCCAACCGAGCCAGTGATCCTCCTACTAAACATACAAGATCAGCCAACGAGAACTCTCTCACACTAAAGAAGCATTCATCTTACATTAAAAAGCTACTTTCGTAATGAACTACTTCAGAATTACTCAATTTTGAAATAAAATTGATTTCACAAAAATTCAACTTAGTATTTTTTTTTTTTCATAACAACTCACAAATAATCTACACCTTTGCTGATATTAAAGACTTGAAACGGAGGTGTGTGTGCTCCTTCTGCCCACGTGAGCAGAACCCTGCGTGGAGGCTCTGGGTCCAGAAAGCCCACCCAGCCTTGCACGGATGGTTGGTAGTAAGAGGGATTCGTCGGCTTCCAGGCAACTGCGTGGACTCTCTGCCCAGGAAGCCTGGGTGTGGAGGACACGCCTTGTAAACGCCACCCTCCCTGCCCCTGCAACCTGCCTGGGGCTGGCCCAGGCTTCCTCCCACGGTCTCCCAGGCATTTGAGGGCCCTGCTACCTTCCCCGAGCCCCGGAAGCAGCTGGAAGAGCCCCATGAAGTCGGGCTGGGGCCAACTGCTAATACCAAGCTACAGGAACTTGGATCTAGAGGCGTCATGAGCAGAGACAGAAGCTCAGCCCCTACAATCCCCACCCAACCCCACCTTGGCATCTCCTTTCCTCCCTGCTCCTCTGTGCAGGAAGGGGCTGCCAGCTCCAGGTAGGGCCTGGAGGACAGCTCTCAACCCCAAATAAAGCAGAGAGCCACCTGCTACCCTAAGCAATCTAACTGCTGAGACTTCATTGAGAATAGAGAGCAGCCCGAAGTTGGCTTTGTGCGGCCACAACTTCTTTTCTGTCGACCAATAACCTGTGAACTAAAGGAGAATCCAGAACGGAGACGCGAAACAGATCCACTCTGGATATATTTTTCTACCAGGGGCTTACGACGTCATCCATTCATTTCTCACTGTGTGTTTCACTCACATACCGCAGACGCTGAACCGTCCTCATCACCACATCCCACAACCCTGTCTTGGGTCCTCCTCTCCAGAAGGAAGCCTCCGGATCACTGATGCCACTCCCACTCCCTCCCACACACCTACCAGTCTACCTCACCTTCTCCTCCCTGCACCCAGCTCCTCTGAAAGCTGCCCCCCACCCCAGGAAGCCCGACTGTGACACAGGCTGACAACCATGCTGACATGCAGTCTTGTGTTGTCCTCCCCCACCCAGAACCCCAGATCCCTCTCCAAGTGCGGTCAGAACCCACTGGGACACCGCCCTCTGCTGCCCAGAATCACGACCCCCATGCCCTGGCTCGCAGCTCTTCCAAGCGAGGTGACCGAGACCAGAGCAAACTCACAATTGTCAGGGAAGTGGACTATAGTCAAACAGAAACTGTCAGACAGGAATACAGGCGGTGATGACTCACCCAAGCCTCATCCCTTCGAGGGCCTGAAGTACACCTCCCTCGTTTCCAGTTTATTCTCTGTTTTGCTGCACCCCCCGCCCATGCCTCAGGCCTCCTGCGCATGAGCCATGCCACAGCTCCTACAATTTGAGGGACAGCTGACCTACTGTCACACCAGCCCCCCCAATGGCCTTTGCCCCACGCCGCTACCTTGCTTTCAAGTCCGAGTAAGAAGTCACTCACAGGGCCAGACACCACGATTTGCTCCCAGACTAGCATATGTCGGCAGAGCGGTTCTGTTCAACCAAGTCATCAACTGCCATGGTTTCTCTTCAAAATCAGAGAGGTTCTAGAACAGAGAGAGGCTTCAAAGATTCAAAGGAGGAAACAGACGGTGCCCATGCTCGAGGTCCGACTACAAGACCCCAAACCCCTGGTGGAGTGCAAGCCACTTCCTGCTTTCGTCTGCACCAGGCTGCCTGCCAGGTTACTTGAGAACTTGAGCACCTTCTGGGAGCCTGCAGGCTGTAGGCGGCAGCCACCCCGCTGACACCGGGGGCCCAGCAAGCATGGGCTCACACCTTCTGTGGAGCTGTGGGCAGCCATGGGGATTTAGCCAAACACAGCGTGTGGGTTACAGAAAGCATGGGGAGAGCAGGGATGGGCCTCCAGCACTGATAGCGAGGCCGAGCGTTGACCAGAGTGTTGACCGTGTACTTTCTGTTACTGTTCTTGGACAAACCCACAATTCACACACCCCTTTTTCCAGGCTCGTCTTGACTAATGTGGGACCATCTCCTGTGGGGTCCTAGAGAACATGGGCCACACTCCAGAGGGCTCTAGAAGGCTTAGCCTGCACTCCACAAAGCAGGAACTACTGGCCGGCCCCTGCCCCCTGCATGTCACCAGGGCAGGATCGGAGCATGCTGCCCTTTAGGGCTACACTCTTCAAGATCGGAACTTCATTTCTGATGAAGGGCAACCAGTCTGGACCGATCATGGGGCCCGAGGGCTCTCCAATGAGAAAATTCCCGAAATCTCACCCTCCGTCCACTGCCCAGGGTGACATCTGCCATCGGTTTAAGAGCTGTCGGTCCCTTGCTACTTGAGCTGCTTCAGACAGGTGTGGGGTAACAGGTCCATAAACTGCCACCCCAGACGCCACGGCACACCCGGGCTGGCTCCTGGCCTGGCCCCCGCCACACCCCACTGTTCTCCCCTCGGCTCACACTCTCTGAAGGTCATGCGAAATGATCTCAGAACAGAAGTGGGCATGCAGTGTGGCTGGAGTGCTCACACACACACCGTTTCACACTCCAGTGTAGCTGAGCAGACCTCGACATGGGAAGTCACAGGTACACCCTTCGTCCCGTTAAGATTCTCATCCTCCCCCACCTCAGAAAACTTTCAGATCTCTTATTTCAAGGCAGATGTATTATTTTGAGCTGTTGTGTAGACGCCAAAATATATTTTCTGTAATCACCAGTATTTCTCAAAAGGCCTCCTGTAATTACTACACATGTGAAGTTTTCCTTATTTATAAAATATAAATTATTTTTAATACATCAACTTTAGTAGAAATTTGTACCAACACAGTAACTGTATGTGGCATTTGAAATAAGTTCGTGTTTACTTTGACGTATTGCACAGTATTGAACACACCGTGTAGCTGCAGTACCACTTGATATGAAGATGATTCACAGATTATCATAAAGTATTATCACTGTAAATGCTCTTTTTCTGAGGATTTTACAATAAAACTTGAGAAAAGTGACCTTCTGTTGGTGCCCGTCTGTGGGTGGTTGGTGAAGTGAAAAGGGGTAAAAGGCAGGACCACGCAGGTCCTTCTCCCCATTCTCCAACACCCTACAGGTTCTCGAAGGGGAAAAGCAAGTGGCCTCTCCACTGGCCTGCTCCAAAGCGCTGTGGACAAAGGCAGGCACCTGAACCCAGAAGTCTCTTCCCCCATGTTGAAGTTTCAGCTCCCAACATGTACAACCAAGGTCTGGTTCCAACCTTCTCTTTACCTGCCCTGGTGGACCTTTACATTTCACCACAAGCACCAGCTCCAGCCCATGCCGGACTCCAGTAACTCTTCATTCTTGTCAGGGCAGACTTGCCAGCTAGGATACAGGATGCATCAAGTGCTCAGTCATCACCAAGGTACCAGCGTGGGGCACCCACCATGTGCGAGCGCTATGCGAGGCATGGGGGCTCGAGGGCTGCGCGAAGCAGACACAGTCCTTCCCTTGGCGAGCTTCATGTCCACTGCACCATGGCTGTTAGTGCAGATCCTCCAGAGAAACAGAACCAAT